TGCAGCGGTATGGGCTGTGGTTTGTCCCACTAACCTGCCTCTTCTCAATTTCTCCCCAGGAAGAAAAGCCAATGAAGACATGGGGGAGCTGTTCCTCCAAACAGGTGCAGAGAAATAAAGCTGTGTGGTGCAAGAGGGAGCTGTCATGGTCACAGAAGTGCCACTATAATCTCCCTCAGGAGAAGGAGAGAAACTGTTGGGGAGACCTGTATTAGTCAGGATTCTCCAGAGAAATGGAACCAATAGGATGGATGGGTACACACCACACACACACACACATGAGGATGACAATTAAGTCTATGAATGTGTCCTAGAAAAAGTGCTACATCCCTCACTGCTGAATATCACTATGGTCATCTTTGAGGTAGTCCCCTCAGGAAGCCGTGTTCCAATGCTAGCACCTAGTCTACCCCTCAAAGCAATTTTGGAACTCTTTCTCTGGAATGGTCAACAGAGCTGATGTTGTATGAGGTCTGACAATTAACTTCTTGAACTTGCCACTGTGCAAGTTGCCAGCACTGTACAAACAGCTTTTAGGTTTTATAATCTTGGTCTATCAGTGTCTCACACCTGTGTCCATGTCGATGTATGGTGGAGTCTTGCTGAGAGGCATTCATTATTATTGCTGTGTGTCTTTGTGTGCCATACAATAGCAGCTCTGATGATCATTCCAGTAAAAGAGTTCCAAAATTTATTTGAAGGGTGGACCAGTGCTGGTATCAGTGCATAGCTTCCTAAGGGGAGTACTTTGAAGGTGACCATAGTAATATTCAGCAATGAGATATGTAGCACTTTTTCTAGGAAAGTTTGTGAAGTTAATTTTTTAGATGAATTTGTGAACTTAATTGTTAGAAAAAGAGATCTTAAGGATTAGTTTATATGATTACAGAGGCTGTCTAGAAGGTCTCAAATCTGCAGGCCAGCAGGCTGGAGACCCAAGGAAGAGCTGATGTCATAGTTCAAGTTCAAAGGCCATCTCTTGCCCTAATTCCCTAGTCTTCTGGGGAGTCTTTGTCTATTATTAACTGATTGGATGAGGCCCACTCACATTACGGAGAGTAATCTGCTTTATGCAAAGTCTATTTATTTAAATATTAAGCTCATCTAAAAAGAATACCTTCACAGAAACATCTAGAATAATGTTTGACCAAATATCTGGGTATTATAGCCATGATTGTTAATTTTCTGTGTCAACTTGACTAGGCTAAGGGATGCCCAGATAGCTGGCAAAACATTATTTCTGGGTGTCTGTGAGGGTGCTCCTGGAAGAGATTAGCATTTGAATCAGAGTACTAAGTAAGGAAGAGCCATCTTCACTGGTGTGGGCCGGCATTGTCCAATCTGTGAGGGCTTCAGGGGAACAAAAAAGCAGAAGAATGGCAAATTATCTCTCTTCCTGAGTTGGGACACCCATATTCTCCTGCTTTCAGACATTGGAGCTCCTTGTTCTTAGGTCTTTGAACCCTGAAACTTATAACAGCAGGTCCCACTCCCTTTATCACCTTCTGCTTCCTACCCACCCCCATCACCACTAGGTTCTCAGACCTTCCTATCTAGACTGAACTGCACCACTGGCTTCCCTGGTTCTCCAGCTTGTAGGAAACATATGGTGGGATTCCTGGTCTTACATAATTGTATGAGCCAATTCCTATTATCTATCTATCTATCTATCTATCTATCTTACTGATTTTTTTCTCTGGAGAACCCTGACTAACACAGTGGCCTAGCCAAGTTGACACATAAAATTAACCATTCTAGGCTGGGCATGGTGGCTCGTGCCTGTAATTCTAGCACTTTGGGAGGCTGAGGCATGTGGATCCCTTGAGCTCAGGAGTTCTTGACTAGCCTGAGTAAGAGCAAGACTTACTAAAGTCTCTACTAAAAATAGAAAAAAATTAGCCAGGCCTTGTGGTGGGCCCCTAGTCCCAGCTACTCAGGAAGCCAAAACAGAAGGATGACTTGAACCCAGGAGTTTGAAGTTGTTGTGATGATGGCATGGCACTCTGTCCTGGGGCAACAGAATGGGATTCCAGAACAGCCATTCCAGAATGGCCCATGGGATTCCAGGAACATGTTTCCCTGGAGCTGTTCCCTGTCAGGGGCTGAGTGCAGGTGGATACTAGAGCCAGGCCATCCTGCCCATGGGCTCCCCCGGTAGGCAGCTTTTGCTGAAGTGTCCTCAGGACTCCCTGGGAGTTGCACTTCAGGGTTGGGGGAGCCCTTCCTACCCAGCCCTCCTCCCATCTGGCTCTTCTTTCCAGGTTTTACACTTTACTTGAAATCTAAGTCTCTTTCCCCTACTCCAGCTCACTCATCCTTTATCCTTCACAGGAAATGTAGCTGTCAACATACAGAGATACAGATAGATGTATATACCCTCCATCAAAGTCTTTTAAACTGTTAAACAGGTTTCTGTAGTTTGTATGGAACATTATTACTCATCAAAAACCAAATGTAAATGAAAGCTGACACACAGCTGAGCAAACTATTTCAGAAGAGCATTTTCTGTGCTTAATGACTCCGTGGATTTCATTTAAATAAGACAATAAATGGAGGACAGTGCCTGTGGCTCAAAGGAGTAGGGCGCCAGCCCTATATACCAGAGGTGGTGGGTTCAAACCAGGCCCCGGCCAAACACTGCCAAAAAAAAAAGAAGAAGAAAGAAAAGAAATCGACAATTTGACTAAAGGATGATAGAATTTACTGGTACGTTGCTAGAAGTTCGAGTTGAGCACTTGTAGGCAGCAGAAAAGACCAGCTACACTTCGCAGTTTGGGATATTTCCATTTCTCCTTGACCATATTTACAGAGTAAGCTCAGCATCTCAGTATCTCAGTGGATCTGACTCCTAAATAAGACCAAGAGCTCATCTTTGAATTCAACAAAGGTTACCAGACCAAAGCAAAGATTCAAATCTCTGCCCCTCTGGCACTGAGAGCAAAGGAGGGAAGAATTTGGAGCTAACAGTGTGCTAATTTTAGAATTGCAGAGCCCAGAACACAAAGCCGACCAAAGTCACGCCAACATGATGGATAAACAACGCCATCCCAGCTGCTTTGGGCTGGGCCAAACAGATGGCAGGTGAAAGCGGGTAAGATTTCCTCGCAAACATTTGTTTGTTATTCTTCACAATCTTTGTTCTTGGAATAAAAAAATGAGATTGCCAGAATTTTGGAGCAGTGTGTTTTATTTGCTTGTTTGTTTATTTTTAAGTCTCTTTCTATTAGTTTTCTCCCTTTAAAAATGAAAACATCTTCATGGAAGGAAAAATTGCAGCAATCAAGAAAGGGATGCAAGAAAAACTCGGCGTCCTCTGGCCCCACCCCATCCCGATTTCATTCCCCCAGCTCTATCCACCTTGGCAGAAGTGACTGCTGTTGTGTTTCTTCCAAACTTTTATCTGAGCACACAGAAAAATGATTATTAAAAAAAAAACAATCCATCACATGTGTTCCTGAGGCATTCACTGGTTTTGTTACCCGTGTGCAGCGCCTCAGAAAGATGCACAGAGGAGACGCTCCTACACTCCAGGCTCCCTGTCTGAGTGCCTGGGTTCTCCTGAGTCTTCTGAACCTAGTTTAAATTCGTTAACATTTACACAGCCACGCGTGGCTGGTGGCTAACTGTATTGGACAGCACAGGTTTGCAGAAAGCAATCTGCCTCCACAGAGGACTTGCGGAGGAACCTGAGAAAGAGCGCCCCATCCTGGATTCTGCAGAATACAGAATACAAAAAACC